CGGCCGGGGGCTGAGGGGAGGCCCGGAGCCTGAGGGGCGAGCCGGGGCTGGGCGTAGCCGGGGCGCTCAGGGCGGCCGTGCCGGACGAGGATCTCAAGCCTGGAAGGGATATGGAACCGGGCCTCGCCCAACTGCGAGGTGCGAAAGGGGATTGTGGCCAGTATCCGAGACTCAGGGCCCGGGCGAAGCGCTAGGCAGCCGGGGCCTCTCGGCTGCTGCGGCGCCGCCTCCCCCATCAGCTGATCTGAACTTCCGGCCGCGCCGGCCACCACCACTTCCGCCTTCACGCGCTTCGGAACCGGACTCTGTACGGGCAGATGTAGAGGATCTGTTTGTTTAATTGCTGCATTTCCTGCCCCCCTTTTTTTTTTTTTTTTACCTCGAACCCACCCTCAGATACTGTAAGAGGAACCCAACCCCCAGAGGTATATAAATGACTACAGATCCCAGCAATAACTCGGCATCCATACTGTCTCCAAGGAATAAACAGCCGCCATGAATGCTGGGAATCGTAGGCTGTCAAGCGATAACACAAGAACTATTGGGTGGAGTTACTGTTTTAACTCCGGATAGGCCTTGGATCCGCATCACCTTCTGGGAGTTGTAGTTTAGAAGGCTACATTCCATTAGACTTGTTATAGGGTCTCATCAGGGAAGCAACGCGAAAAGAATGCACTGATTTCAGGAAATGGTTGTAGTGTTTTGTGAGTGGGTCCTTTGAATTCAGATGTTTTCAGCCTTTTTTTGTGTACGCTACGGACCCTTTGGCAGCCTGGTGAATTCTCTGGAACACTTCTCAGATTGTTTGTAAATGCACAAAATAAAATATAAAAATTAAAAAAGGAAACCAATTATGTCGAAATACAATTTTAAAAATAATAAAACAAATTTGTAACATAGTAATACTTCTTTATTTACACATTAAGATCGATCCAGCAGTAAGTGTAGTAACTACCATAATTTTGAAGCTAGTGATGGGTATGATACCAAGGTATCTGCAAAACTATATGAAAATATGATCTCACATAAAAATTGCTGATACTGTGGTTTGTTTTCCTCAGTCCTGAGATGCTAAATTTCAGTTGTGGCTAAAGATAAAATTTGTTTTCTCATTCATGTCCACACACCTGTTACTGGGAATCTATTGACCCTAGGTAAAGAACTCCTGAGTCCAGTCCAAAGTGCCTAAGCACCGAGCTTCTTCCTACAGCTAAAAGCCTCAGCTCTCAGAACCAGGTAACTGCCCAGTGCTATACCCACGGTCTATGAGGACTATGGGAAGAGGTAGCTGTGGGGGTCACAGAGGCAAGACCCTTTCTTTATCTGATTAATTATCCCACTGGAGGTTTAGAAACCCCACTGATCCCTTTGTCTATTTAATCCTCTAATGTGTATAGGAAACGTTAAGTTAGTTATGCCTGAAAGGGCAGAGTATACATTAAATGGTATACAACTGTTTCAAATATCAAGTGGTCACAGAAGTTAAAGCCTTCAGCAACTAGGTAGATAACTTAATGAGAGAAGTGAACAGGTGATAAAGAAGATAATTGCCAACTAAGTTTCAGTTTCACCATTTGGGAGAGGCCAATGCCAGGTACCTGGAGAACAGAGACAAATGATAATCAACTCTACTTGATTACTGCCATGCAGGAATAAGAAATCAGTATTGCCAGATTTTTTTTTTTTTAATGGAAAGCTCCAAAGTGGATTTTTAATGATATTTTTTCCTATTTTGAAGGTGGTCTTCTAATTTAAAAAGAAATTTTTAATTGTGTTGGCTAAATAAAATACATCTGCAGCAACTTTGGTCACCAGTTTGTGAACTTCTGATTATTCTGGGAGCATCCTGCAGGGGCTATGCACGAAATAGGCAGTTACGAAATACTTACAGATGATGGTAAAAAAAATTCTGCATATAGGCAGACTTCAACTCCCTTATTGCATCCAAAGGCAAGAATACTAAATGGTGTAAACTTCAAATGCAGAACAAGAATAAATATGTCCTGATCCTGGAACAAATCAGGGAGCAAAGAACTTCCAGTCTCAGGAAGAATACAGAGTTCAAGTATAGAGGGCAAACCTAATCTACAACAAAGGCCAACTTCTCTTCAGAGGATTTTATTTCAAGATAAAGCATAACTTCCACCCTGACAATGATTACAAAAGATGAAAAGATGTCTTGCCTCCTTTCACCTTTCAAATAGAGCATGGCAGTGCAAACGTCTCTAAAACACCTCTGCATAGTTCTCAGTAGCTACAGTCCAGTCACAGAAAATGCTTCTCCATTTTCAACTGACATGAGATTTGTTAGGAAATCTCTGTAACAACTTATTGAGTTTCATGGGGGGTAAATTCCCAGATGCTCCTGTATCCTGGATTGATCTCATCTTTCGGGCCCCCTGAAAGGACAGGAAAAAAAAACAAAAAAAAAAACACAAAAATGACAGCTCTAGAGTTTATCCTGACCTAGGCCAAAAGTTCTCACGATGCCGCAAACCACATTAACATATTAACCAGCCTGGAACTATCTGTGTCATCTATCCAGTCTCCTTTCAAAAGGGACTTGGAACCTACAGATGACAGTATGACCTGAGCTACCATGCCAGCTAGCAACTAATTTTAGGCTAAAATCCAACCTGCCCTTCACAATATTTAGCTCTAATTCAGATAATAATATCTATTTGAGGAGCATTTAAAATTTTCCCATTCATTCCTCCATTTAATACAACATTCTGTAAGATGGGTATTAACATTAACCTCCTTTTACATCTGGTATAGCTAAAGCCTAGAGCAGTGAAAGAAATCGCTCAGTATCACAATGCCTTCAAAACATAACTTGTTCCACTGTAGCGTGAGTGAAATCGCTCCCACAACTTTCCTCGCCTTTTTAGAATGAGAAGGTCCTCCTATCACCTAGCAAGAGGCAAGAACAATTACTTGTATCCCCGCCCCCATTCTCCTCCCAAGAGGGCACCCCAAGAGCCTTCTGTCACCTCAGCCCTAGAAGCACAGTCGAAGAAATCCTGGATCTCTTTTCTGCACGCTTCGTCGCGGAATTCATTCTGCTTCCAACACGCCATCATCACCGACATCTCTGTGATACAAGTCGCCTCTGGAAGAGCAGAACGAGAGCACCGTCAGTCACAAGGAAACCTTTTACCTTAAGGCCCTCCCACCCAGCCGTCCGGTGCATCCCTCCGGCTTCCGCTCTGGAGCCTCCCTGGCTCCGACTGCTCACCGCCCTTGTCCCGGCGTCGTTCCCCAACACGGTTAGCTAGAATGAGGGGCTTGTTGGGCTTCAGTATAGGCTTCCGCGGGTTTCCCAGCCGCGGTAATCGACCCCGCAGGCTGGGCGTCGCCATTGCGCACCGAGCTCCCGGCAGGCTCTGCGTCGTCCCGTACGTGACCCTGCGTGACCCCAAAGAGCTCGACGAGCGTAGGCGCGCAACCTGCGGGAAGCTGGGAGGCCTGTTTGGTCTCTTGGCCCTGTAGGCGGGACGCTGGGATCCAACACCGGTCATTCGAGACCTGTGTGCAGGTTAGGAGAGTCTTTGGGGCTCGTTCGCAGATCTAGACCGCTCTTTTGTGGGCTCGCGGCCCTGAAGTCTTTGGGCGGTACTAAGCAGGGAACATCTAGTAAAGGACCTGATAAAAAAGGACCCTCGTTTATGGTGGGAGCTGGCTGAACTAGAGTATGATTGACATAAGCAAGGGCAGAGGATGGGAGCTAATAAAAATATGAGACTTAAAGATGTTTGGTTTGGACAGTTTTGTGTTTTGGCAAGTCTTCAAGAACTGTTGGATTTTACTACCTTTAAAACCACCCCAAAACCGTAAAGAAAAATTAGGGTCATTTAAACAGTTGCTATTACTGGGACAGCTGGGTGTCTCATTCAGTTAAACGTCCTGCTTTTTTTTTTTTTTTTTAAGATTTTATTTATTTCTTTGACAGAGACAGATCACAAGTAGGCAGAGAGGAAAGCAGAGAGAGGAGGAAGCAGGCTCCCTGCTGAGCAGAGAGCCCGATGTGGGACTCGATCCCAGGACCCTGAGATCATGACCTGAGCTGAAGGCAGAGGCTTTAACCCACTGAGCCACCCAGGCACCCCAAACGTCCTGCTCTTGATCTCAGCTCAGGTCTTGACAGCGGGTTGTGAGTTCAAGCCCTTCATTGGACTCCACGATGGGAGTGGAGCCTACTTATAAATAAATAAAAATAAAGCTTCTACTTCTGTATCTTACTATATATCCTTTGCTCTCCTTTGTAATAATCTCATTGGGTAGGGTGGGGTTTAAGCATTTTGGCATTTATCATCTAATTTAATCTCTCCAATCCTGTGAAGATACTTGGTGATATCACTCCTATTAATAGACTGGACCCATCAGTTGTGATGCCTAGCTTCATCAGACTTGGTTCTAAGTGTCTTTAAGCTATTTACAAAACTCAAAGATGTGCCAGGGATTCTTAAGGCCTTTAAAAATAAGCTTCAAGGAATGGTTCTGGTAATGGAAGCTTAACTTGAACAGCTTTTAGTTCATATGAGGACTACTTCGGAGGAGCAATATTTATTTGGTTGTATAAAATTTAGTGTGCTAAAATTAAAAAATCATTTTACCACTGCTAAAGTTAAAATCATTTATCACAGATGTTTAATATTGCCACTGATCTCTGCAAGACTGGTTCTTTTTCTTCTGTTGAGTCTCAGTTCCTGTCAGAAAGGCCTTCCCTGAGCCTGCCCCCCACCACACCAAGCTGTTGTATTTTTTCCATAGCACATATCACAGTCTGAATTATCTTGTTCACTTATTATTTACAGCTTTGCTTACCAGCAACACCCATTTAAAATAAGCACCATGAAAGAAAGTGACCCTGTCTTACTGAATCCCCAGTGCCTAGAATAGTGACAGTAAATACTCGTTAAATGAACAAATGTTTTGACATGTTTTTCCAAGTCTCCAAGTGTATCATACTCAGCCCAGAAATATAACCAAGCAGAAGACACTGTTTAAAAAGAAGTCATTTATTATACAAAATGAAATGTAAGAAAATAGAAAACTGCAACATACAGATTAATAAAGGCATCAGTCCCATACTCCACTGCCACCCCAGCAGCACAAATAAAACTGATTCCTAGTCAGACACTTCTTCCACCAATAATCTTGAGCCTGTTGCCATTCACAGAGCAAGCTGGGCCCAAACCAGAGAAAATTCACATTGTTTGCTTTCTCTTCATATTGGTTCTGCTTTCTCTTGCGGAAACATAGCACCTGGTTTACTGTGGTCTTTTATGAATAGTTCTATTGTGATAGGATTAAAGGAGAAAGTCTGGGAAGCACTGTGCACAAAGCAGGCATGAGTCTCCAGCCACAATAATTCATAAACAACTGGCCCACTTTATACATAAAAGTGCTAAAGGAATGCCAGTGTGAACTGGTCTAATTTGGAGAGGTAAGGATGGTTATACACTTGGCGCTTACCCATTTTATTGCACATCATGAAACTTGATTCCTAACCTTAGTTTGCACTTGAGTAGTATGTAGTTTGCACTATAAATCAGCACCTGCATTTAAGTAGATTGCAAATTCAGAAATCAGAGTCCTGAATATGACTTCTTTTGTGGGTCGCTACTATTTTAATATAAGTATGTTTGGAGGTCTGTCTTTCCCTCTTGTTCTTTTCTGAACAAGCTCAAACAGGTTAAGCAAACTTTCCATGCTGTTGTGAAGGGTATTTTTTACTAAAAAATAAAATGGAAAAAGAACCACCCTGGCAGTGAAATCCAACCCCAATTACAGCTGCCACATCCTTAGATGTCACAATATTAAGGGGGGGACCCTAGTTGTTGAAGCATCTAACATACACACACACACACACACACACACACTTCTGGTTGTATATCAGTGTGTATATGTGTATATAAAAGTACATATATTAATTCCCAAACAGATAAACTGATAGGCTGTGGAAATTCTCTAGTGATAATTATTAATACATTATACAACCAGAGTAGCGCTAAGATCCAAAGTATTCTTTCTCATTCCACTGGCCCAGAAAAACCTAATGGTCTCCCTGCCCATTAAGCTTTATATTCAAACCACAGCAATAAAAGGGTTTGGCTATACCCCAAAATCTGCCTAACAATTTTTTATTTAGTCAACCACTTGTGGCTATCTCTTGCCTCACCTCCCCTGGAGAGGACCTTAGGTGGGCTCCATCAAAACGCAGTCTCAGTAAGTACTACAAAGTTGTACAGATACTGGTAATAGAATGATGTTTGAATATTCATTCCACATAAAGTGAAAAATGCTACATAATATGAGGTAATGACTACAACTATATTGCTGGGCTGTTTTTTCCAACATAATTTTCATGACTCTTTGGGGAAAATCAGACTTTGGTAGCATATAAAAATAGTAAAATAGAAGAGTTCATTAGGCAGACAGAAAAGACAAAGACCTATAAAAATCTGCAGTTTGATTTGCACTGGTCTATTTTAACATTCCAAAATCATTTAAATATATATGAATGATATATACTCTGTCATCATTTCCAGCCTTAGTCTCTATCCGCAACCTAAAATAGAGCAGGACAATTCATTAAATTGACATGGCATATATTAGCCATTGAATCTTTATGTTCATGAGATGAGAAGGAATTCATGATACGCTCTAAAGGGAAAAAAAAAAAAGGCAAATCAGCAGTAAAAAAAGCTGTCAAGTCTATAGCCAGTTTAATGCAGGGGAGAATGAGTGTGGGGATGGTGGCAAGGCTCCTGCATCTTCATCAGATACTGTGGAAAACCAAGAAAGAAAAATCCATTTAAAATAAAAAGTTTGACATCGAAGACAAGCAAATGATATTAAAAATACAACTCTAAGAACCAGAATACAACCCACCAAGAGTTCTGCTTCACCACCAACCTAAAAGGCTATAAAGCAGGAGATGAGGAAAACAGATTAGGAAAGGTACTGAATAATGAAGAGTTTTAAAGAATAGCATCGAAGTTTTAAGACCTTAAATCTGACCCATCTTACCTCATTCTTAGACAAGTACCAAGGTGTTGTTCCAATCACAGTTGAGAGAATGAGATGGCTAGAAAAAGATGCAGTTCTTTTACAATTCTGTTCAATCAGCACTTTGAAACAAGTGGGTGTTTCAGGCTTTTGCTTCCCATTAATCCAAGAACTGGAGACCTCCACCTCTCCTTGAAGACAGGCCCTATTACCACAAGCTGAGACAGTGGGTACACAACATTAGGATAAAATATCAGTGGCTATAAATGGAATTCCTTGAACTCATGATAAGACAGTGTTCATTAAGGTTGTGCAGCAGACGCCCCTCATGTCCGATAGTAGAATAAGGACTTCTGTCTCCTTAACTCTACCAAGTTAAAGGCTCTTGCAAGGATAATTAGAGACTTTTGTTCCTTTTCATGAAGATCTCATGTAGATAATCCCAAAATTTCATCTGCTTTGTCTCATTGTTGTGGATCATGGCAGTGAGAGCTTCCCCCTGGTCCAGACCTTGCCAGTAATCTTGCAGCCACATCTCCTTCCAGCTGAAACATCAAAATGGGAGTTGGATTATGGAACCTCTGCACAGCTATGGTCCTGCCTTCTCTGAATGGGTCAAAGAATCTTAAACAGATACATTAATCTCTGGCTGAGACAGGGCACTGCTTTGAAGGGAATGAAATGTGAAGTAAATCTAGTAGTAGTACAGGTGACAGTAAGCTGCAAACACATTATCTATCACACAGCCCACCCACAATGAGTGAAACTTCCTGACTTGCCCACTCCAGGTTCCCAAATGTGGAAGGAGTTCAGAGGAAGGCAGGGCAAGGGCCAGAGTTCTCTGTAAGAAAAGCCAGGGAGCCTCTAGATGGTTACCTTATTAAGTTGCACCTTTATTTCAATAATCAAAATGAAGGTGCTGTGATGCCCAATGTCTAGATAAAACATGTTTTATTTTTTAATGTTTTACATTTTTCTTCTAGTAAATCATACTATGTTCAGCATATACTAGATACAAATTACTTCATGGAAGGCTCCATTCCCAGAAGAAAAAAATTTTGCCAGCAGTGTATACAAACAGCCCTCTGTTGCCATCTACTGTGCAAGTCGGTCTCTGCAGGCCAGTCTAGCAGCCTTGCTTTCCGAAGCTTAGTAGTCTTATCACCTCTCCCCAAACAGATGTGGTTTGCTGCGCCTTGCTTCAACATTTTCACACTTCCCATGCTGACCTTGTTTCCCAGTGCACCACCTTCTGCCACTTACTGCACAAGATTCCTCACTTTTCTAATTCACACTACTTTACACTGCCCACCACTGTTCATTATTATTTATTGAAAGCAGTCTTTCTCTCTTGTTTAGGTCAAATGTGTAATTTATCACCCAAACCAGGATACTTTTAAGAGTGAAAGGAGATGCTATTAATAATTATGCCAGGTTATGGGTTAAAGCCTCTGCCTTCGGCTCAGGTCATGATCCCAGGATTCTGCTCAGCGGGGAGCCTGCTTCCCTTCCTCTCTCTGCCTGCCTCTCTGCCTACTTGTGATCTCTGTCAAATAAATAAATTTTAAAAATTTAAAAAAAAATAATTATGCCAGGTTAACAGATGTAAACCCTACTGCAGATAAACCTCTCTCAAAATACACATCTTTGTATTGCTCATCCCCACCCCCACCCTTTAGAAGGTGCTAAATAAACAGCTGAGTTGATTTTCAGAAGAGTCTAACTCCTGAGCCTGGTATTCAGGCTATGTATAGCCTGGCCCCAGTTTATCTGTCCAACTCTGTCTCTCATCACTTCATCTGAATCGGCCCCCTCTGATCTGATCGAAGCCTTTTTTGACCTGTTGCAAACACTGTTCATACAAGCTGACCTCATGTTGTCGCCTTGAATGATATTTTGCTTTGCATCTTTTACTGAGCTTTTTCAGTTTGTCTTATCTCCCCAACCAGACTCTTGACACCTTAAAGGCAGAATAAGTCCATGTCATAATTTCCTTATACAACAATCCCCTAAGCATCTAATACTAGTTCACTGCCCACAGCAAGCAAGTCACTCAATCAGTCATTTGATTTGATGGCCACAGAGTCCTCAGCTATCCTTACCTGTCATTCTCAGGAATCTCTTCCACACTGCCAAAACCAGGTGTGGGCACCGGGCAATCCATGTGTGAGGGCTGGGCAATGTGAGGTTCAGGGCCAGGGATATCCTCAGGAGAGGCTGCGTGAGCTTTCTCGGCCTCCAGCCGAGCCAGTTCATGGTCACAGACGAAACACTCGAAGCCATTGAGGTAGTTAGGCAGCAAAGGATCATTCACTCCCCACTCCCGATGCTTCAGACTATCCAGAAGGAACTGGTTGGTGATGCCCCCAGGTTGCTTATATGCCAGGTATTTCATGTATTCCTCATCATTCTTGTCCAGAAAGTCAATAAATTCTGCCAGCTTCTGAGGTGACTCAAAGTCATCAATGAGGATGATGGAGTGATTGTTGGGCATCCAGTCCCTCACAGAAGGAGAGCCGCGATACACAGGCACAGCCCCGAGATGCATGGGGCGCCACAGTTTTTCTGTCATGTAGTCATCACAGATGGCATTTTCTAGGGCCAAATGGAACTTATAGCGAGACAAGAAGGCCAAAAGCTCTGGATCCTCGGTGGTGGCTGTGGCTGTGTCCCGTAACCGCGGAGTGGGCAGCTCCCGATTTTGCAGGCATTTCCCATAGGAGTCCACCTGAGCGGGGTAGAGTACGGCCGTCAAGTGGGTGCTGCAAGTCCGCCAGGACGCCAAGGGTCCCGGCCTCAGCCGCACGCGCCCCCTCGCCCCCGCCCCCAGCCCCGCCCCGACCCCGCCCGGCCCCACCCACCGGGATGTAACGCATCAGCTCGCGCACGTAGCGGTCCCGGTCCGCAGGCACGTCGCAGTGGGACTGCAGATAGAGCAAAGGCGCGTAGCCGCGGCGGCGCCACTCGGCGCGCTCCTGTAGCGAAGGCGCCGCGCGGCGCAGGTAGGCGGTCCCGGGCAGCCACTGCAGCGCCAGCGGGTAGTCCGAATGGCGGCTGAAGGTGGCAGTGAGATTGAAGAGGCGGATGCCGGGCCCGTGGCTCAGCACGAAGTTGTTGAGGGGCGACTCCTCGTGCAGAAGCGCCCAGCTCTGATGTGCCAGGCGCGGCAGCGGCGCCTCAGACGCGCGAAAGTCAGTGCCGTAAAAGAGCAGCGCGCGCGTCCGTGAGTGCCCCCGCACCCGGCGGTCCCGGGACGCCAGGCACGCACCACGCGCGCACTCGATGCGCTCCGAGTCGCCCGGGAAGTGAGGAAATAGGCCTGGGCTCCACCACAGCAGCACCGGCAAGTCCACCGCCCCCTCCCTCCCTGGCCGCGGGGTCCCTGGACTGCGCGCCACCCCGACCGCGCCCAGCGCTGAGGGCGGCCGGAAAACCGCACCATCCCATGGCTCCGTCCAGCCCGCCTCCCCGCCGGTCTCCCTCTCAGCCACGGGCCCAGAGCCGCTAACCGTACAAATACTAAACACTCCAAAGACGGCAAGCGTAACCCCGCTACGGCCCGCCGCCATGTCCACTGGCAGCTGCCCCCTAACCGCCCCCCCCACCGCCCACCAAACCCGCAACTCCTCCCGGCAGCACTAGACCCCGCCCTGCGGTGAGTCGCGACCCGACAAGGTCCTACGCCCGCGGTGCGCGTGACGCATGCGCAGTTCTGCTCAGCCAGCCACTTCCTGGGAAGTGCTAAACCTAGCCGGAATTAATAGAGGGGACAGTGGTAAATCACAAGTAAAAATGAGACTAATTGTTACATCTTAATTTATTTTATTTCTTTACAAATTAAAGATGCATTGAAAAATAAACCAATGAGGAGAAATGAGAGGTCCAGAGCAGGGGCATCCCAGGCTGGGAGCAGACAAGCCTGGCCACCATCAAGCCTAGCCCTTGTCCTGCCCCAGCCAGTTCAGGTTGGAAGGTAACTATTAGCCACTCTGTCAATATCAAAGCTGGAGTGGTGTCCCGGCAGGAGAGAACAGAGCTCCAGCAGCCACTGACTCTCTCCCCAACAACTACCAGCTTGGAGAAGCAGTGTTTCCAGTGGCAACTCAGAGTGCGATAGGGGCTGGCTCTGTGAGGTATTGCAAGTTGATGACCAGGCTCTCTACAAAACCATCCAGTGTTGGAGCCTCTCCAGCTGGAAAAGAGGCTGGTACCTCTCCCATGTCTTAATATACTTTTCAACTCATTTCCCAGGCTCATTCATCTCTGACAATGTGCCTCTATCCACTGAGTGATCAACGATCATTGCAGGAGAGAAAAACTAATCAACCACTCTCCCTAACTCTGACTTGGTTGCCGACTTCCAGACCCAAGAAAGACTGACCAGCCACTTCTCTCTCCACTGTATACCCCAGCTCTTGTGCACCTGTATGTTTCATCCCTAATATAGGAAGTTGTTGATGACACTGAGCTGAATTAGTCCCTCCCCCCCCATAGTAACCCTGGGATTCCCACTCCTTCCTGCCTGCCCCTCTCTTCTTGGAGGCTGGTCCAAGGGGACAGATAATATTGCCAGAGTCTGGGTGCCTCCAAATCCCCCAACACCGAATCATATACAGTGAACTGAGAAACTACATTCATTACGACAGGATTAGCAGGAAAAGGAGAGTAATGCGAGGAGATAGGGGCACCTTCCATCAGCAGGACATGACAGAGTGGTTGGATACTTGATCCCAGAAAGGTGTCTCCTTATACTTCCCCCTCCCCACAAAGAGATTGAGGTCAGCTTACATGACTTAGATATGGAACTGTTCCAATTTCTCTGCCATCCTGGAGTACTTTCGGGAAGCTGGCCTGGCACCCTATGCCATTTACCCACTTGCTCTAGCTCAGTAGCTGCCGAATTTCCTTGTGCATATGACAGAGAAAGTCCACATAGGATGCTCCCCCGCTCAAGCTCTTGTCTTCCACCAGGAAGTGCTTGAACAGCATCTCCAGCTTGTCTTCCTGTTTCACCACAATAAGCTATGGCCAGAAAAATAGGGTCATGAGGCAGGGCCAAAAGAAATTAAACATGCCCTAAATTCCCATTATCCAATCACTTATTCCCACTCCCCTTCTAGGAGAGGACTTGACAAGGTAAGAAATCCAGGATTTAGATCAGTGTTACCTTCATGTACCGTGATCTCTGTGCCCTTAAGCTATCAATGAGGCCTCGCACCTTCTTGGACAGTGGATTTTCCAGAACTGGCAGAACACTCTGCAACACAAAATTCATTTATCCTTATGGTAAGATATTCTGAGTCCAGTAAAAAATGGGGCAGCACAGGTTTATTCAAGCCCAGGAATAATGATAGCACCATCCCTCCTTTTCAAATGTTCCCTGCTATTAAAGCAGACTAGCACACAAACTTTACTGGCTCCCACTCATATCCCAAAATGCATTTCCACACCCATACTCCCCTTGACTCCCTGCCCTCACCAAGCCACTGGTGATCTGACTGAAGGACGAAACACTGAAGAGGCTCTGGACCACACCCTGTTGGACACTTGCTCCCACCCACAGGAAGAGGTTGAGCCCGTTCTCCAGCAAATATATATCCCCATTGCTTAGACGCTCTTCAGATGCTCGAACTGCTGGTGGTTCAGTGGCACTCTCAATGGGAGACTTTGTCTAGACAAAAGGAAGGGGGCAAAAGGTTATTTACCAAGGACCGAAAGACACATTTGTGGCCTCTCCCCATGAAATTTCAGAAAGCTCTATCTCTGAGTAACTTCTTCAGTGTGAAAATTACATCAGATAATGCAGGTTAAAACCAAATTCACTAGTGTCAGACAACAGACAATAATAACCCTTCCCTTCCTCCTATGATGCCCCATTCTCAGGATACAATGTTTCATCCAGCCCTCAGTCGCACCAGTGGTAGAAGCCGAGGATAAAAGAAGACATTGGTCTCAGCCACATCCATGGAAGTAACCAGCTGTCGGACATAGGCACGGTCATCAGTAGTGACTTCAGCTCCAGGCTGCAGGACGTCACTCTTCAACACACAGTTCAGGTAAACTGGGAGTAGCTTCATGCACTCAGGAAGGATCAACTGCAGGGGTTATCAAAATAAAGTTAATGATCATGAGCAATCTCTCCCAAATGCAAACATTTGTCCCAACAATTCCTCCAGGGTGCTTGCCCACCTGTCCCGCCGAGGAGGGGCTGGCACAGTTCTTTCTATAACAGGCCAGGATCTGGGCACACTGAGTGATGAGAGTATCACGAACAGTCTTCACGGGGCTATTGAGGACCCCCCGGTATGCTGGATGGAAAATGGAGACAGCACAGTCACCGGCTGGCCACCCCATCGCACCTACTTTCCTGACACCACACCTACCTGGGAATGCTGAATCACTGACAATCACCTTTCAGCCCCAATCCCACTTCACCCCGCCTCTACCCTCACCAAACTTGGCCATGTAGTTGATGAGCGTGTCAGTCTCACAGTTTCGATACAGATCAGCCAGCTGCGTGCAGCAGTTCAGGGCCAGATTGTGGATGCGGAGCCGTCGCTGCCCAGCACAGCTGGTGTAGAGCAGGGCACACTAGGGGAAGGGAGAAAGGGAGAACTCATACCCCTCCCTCACCAAAGCCCTCTGTAAAACTGCTCCTTTGCTGGATTATTAAGCTAGAAGAAAGATGAGCCATCCCTTCCCTGGCCTCTTCTAGCCCTCTCCACCCCCCTCCTACCCTCTTCCCCGCAGCCTATTTATATCCAGTACAGTGATACTTGACACTTTCTCCCCAGCCCCTGCCTCCTGCCCACTACCTGCAGGAGGGCTCCACTCTCTTCATTGAGCCGATCGTCATGCTTGAACTCCACAGTCACCGTCTTGTCCCCATCTAGCCCAGCCAGCTCCACATCTGTTGTGTTGCTCATGTAGAAAGCCCCGAAGAAATCTACAGCACGGATACCTGAGGCCACAGGGATAAGGTCAGGGCTACAGATATCACAGATGCCACTTGTCTCCCTCCCAGGTTTAGTCCGCCGCCTGCTCTTCTCCAACCAGGACTGACCAGTGCTTGTCCGAACGCGCATCACAGCATCAAAGCCAACAACCTTCTGTACATCCCGACGCAGGTCGCTCAGGAACCGTTCCTGGTCGTTCTCCACCTGCAGCCCCCCAGGCGCAGAGTCACATCACTGACTACATAACAACCTGCAGTCTATCTCCCTGTATCCCCTCCACTCTACAACCTGCTGAATCATAATAACAATAACAGTGAAGATGATAATAATAATGATAATGATAATGACACCTTTCAAGCATTTACTATGTGCCAAGTACCACATTAAGAACCTTACGTATAACTACTTGATTCTAATGACAAATCTTAATTAAGAAGTATTAAAACCCCATCTTACAGATGAAGAAACAAAAGCAATAAATGAGTAACTTCTCCTAGGTCATATTGCTAGTATTCTGGGAGGGCCAGAATAACAACCTAGGACTGTTTCCAAGCCCCATGCTCCTAACCACTACCCTTATGGCTCTCTTCTTTATATTATAGGGTTTCTCCGCCACCGGGATTCCTATTAAGGAGTCAGTAGCTAAAGAGCTGCTCCACATGTAAGCCGACATTCCCAGTCCCACTCCCACCTGCTACCCAGAGTCCCATGCCCTACCTGAAAGCAAGTGTATTTGTAGACAGAGCCACCCGTGAGCTGGGGTACAACAGAGAGCGTGGCCACATCCACATACTGGTTAGGGAAGAGAAAGAGATCTACACAGCAGCCTTGGGCCACACACTCTTTGGCCAGGGTCTGATAGGCACCTGTCTGAGGCTGGAACAGAGTCTGTAGAGGAACAGAAGAAAATATTCAAATAGCTCCACCCTACTTGAGAACTATGTATTTAATATGGGATATTCAAATATATGCACAACTTCAGATCTACTTCATAAGTATTTGCAACAGTAGTAGAACATTCTCTTAAAAAAAAAAAATCTATCAAGGGCTTTGGGATGAAATGGGGCAGAGAAGTACAGGAGCACTGGACAAAGTTGGCAGTCATGGACTTGACATGTGAAAGAGTAGAGTGTCTAGTCCTAGTACCCCACCAAGAAAGTTAAAGAGTATTGCATTGCAAAGAATCACCACCTTCCTCTGTCATGGAAAGTCCTCCCCCCATCTCCCAATCCCATACCTTCTCCTTGTCTGTGTTGATCAACTTCCTATCGTCTCTGTTCTTCAGTTTCCCTGGGGCCTCTGCAATGGGCAGGGAGGTATGGAACAGAAACAGCTTCCCTGCACACTCAGCAGCCTAGGAAAGAGAAGGCTACGTGTTCATTCTTTCCTTTATTCAGCTATTATTCATTCATCCTTTCCCTTGTCGTTATTCAGTGCCAGTTATGTCACATATGCTGACTCACTGGACAGTCTTCAATCACTAAAGAAACAGTAATTATATCCCAGTATATAAGATGGTCAGAGGAAAGCAAGGCAGAGGACGTTGTCAGGGTTCTAACCTTACCTTTAGAGCCTCCATGCCAGCCTGGATAACTGGGGCAAATACTGTCTCTGTCTCCCTTGTGTCTGCAAACATTTCAGGAATCTGATCCAATAAGCTGGAGAGACAGGTGATGGGAAGCAATCAAAATTGCTATCCAGACTCAATTCCTCAGTCC